CTGTAAATGTTTATGAAAATTAATAAAATATAATTATAGAAAAAAAAAAGAATGCTTTGAGCAGAATATTGAATGATCCAGGATGCATTAAAATAAGGTGGAAGGAGTACACTGTACCAAAAAGAACTGGATGACACAGAAGTATTTCTTGAAATAACATGTGATCAAGAGGCAATGATGATGAAGCTACCCTAAAGGGCTTTGCAAAAACCAAGGCCCCAGGAATTGATTATCAAGTGACATATTTCAATAAATAGATGCTGCTGTTGACATGCTCACCAGGTTGTACCAAGAAATCTGGAGAGCAGTTATCTGGCCAACTGACTAGAAGAGATCCATATTTATTCCCATCCCAAAATGTGACCCCACAGTGTGGAAATTATCAGTATCACTAATATCACACACAAGTAGAATCCTGCTGAAGATTATCCAGAAATGACTGGAACAGTACATTGATAGAGAACTATGAGTTTAGAAGAGGCTGTGGCACTGGATCTTGGCTGAAAGCAGAGTACTATAAGAATGGCAATTTGTTTCATTGACTATGCAAAGACATTTGACTGTGTGAATCACAACAAACTGTGGCTAACCTTGAGAAGAATGGCAGTCACAGAACACTTTATTGTGCTCATGCAAAACCTATACTTCGACCAGGATGCAGTCCTCAGAACAGAACAAGGAAACCCTGCATGGTTCAAAATCAGGACAGGAGTTCATCAGAGATGCATCCTGTCTCCATATTTTTTTTCAATCTGTATGCAGAACATACCTTTTAGGAGGCTGGACTTTATGAGGAGGAATGTGGCATCAGGATTGGAGGAAGTCTCATCAACAGTCTCCATCATGCAGATGACGAAACCTTGCTTAATGAAACTGAGGAAGATCTGAAGCATTTGTTGCAGAAGATAATGGACTATATTCTTCACTATGGCTGTAAGCGCAACATCAAGGAGACAGAGATAGATTGTCACCATTGGGCCAGTTGGCAGCACCATGGTAGATGAAGAAGAGATTGAGTTTGTTAAAAATTTCAGCTTGCTCAGTTCCACAATCAACACTCTAGGCACCAGCAGTCAGGAAATTAAAAGGTGAATTGCACTGGGGAAGTCTGCTGTCAGGGACCTCTCCAACATGCTAAAAAACAATGATGTCAGTCTAGAAACTAAGGTGTGCCTTATCCAGGCCATGGTCTTAACAATTGTTACACATCAGAGAGCTATACCATGACTAATGATGACAAGAAGAATCGATGCCTTTGAATTGTGGTGCTGCAGAAAAGTATTGAACATACCGTAGACCTTTAAGAGAACAGACAAATCTCCTTTGGAGAGAGTAAAACCAGGCTACTCCTTGGAGGCAAGGATTTTGACTCTCCATATTATATACTTTGGCCATGTTGCCTAGAGAGATCAGTCCTTGGAGAAGCATATCATGGGTGGAGGGGACAGCACAGGAGAGGAAAACCCTGGCTGAGATGGATTGGCACAGTAACCGACATAATAGGGATAGGTGTGTCAGAATTAATGGGACTGGCTCACAATAGGGCAAGGTTCAGAGCTATTTATTATACATAAGGTCACTATGAGTTGCAGGCGACTTGATGGCACATAACAGTAACAACTCTGTCCAAAGCTGTTATTTTGTTTTTAATTGTTTAATAAGTTAATCATGACCCATTAAATTGTTTTCACTACCAACTGGCTATGACCTACATTTTAAAAAATTCTAAACTAAGTATAATTTTTATCTTAATCATTTATCCTAATTAACAACCATTTAGTTACCATTAATTCTTCCTTCATTTTAACTTTTATTTATCATTTCAAAAATTATGTTGCATTTATAATGATGATGATAAATATTTCAAGAATGCTAGTGGAGATGTCTTTTCTGTCTCTTATTCTTCTGGGTTTTTTACTTTATTTCTTTCTGGTTCCTAATTGAACCATAATTCATTGTTTTTGTTTAATTTAGAGCATTTTTTAAAATAATGTGATTTTTAACAGAAGTTTACCTAAGGTTTAGAAGTTCATTCATTCATTGATGCACATTTTCCTCCCCTTCTCTCCATCTGCCTCCCTCAGTTGATTTTGTAATGTACTTCTTATTCCAGATCGTTGTTACACATTCCTTTCAGGCAGTTCTAGTGCAGTGTTCATGCTACCCATTTTTTTCCTGTTCTCTCCCTCATCTCTCCTGTTCAGCTTTATAAGAGCAGTACTTTTGTAATGTCTGTCCTTTTGTGACTAAGACATTTCACTCAACTTCCAGAGTCACTGTACAGTGTTACACAGGTTTAATGTTTTTCAGTGCTGCATGATAGTCCATGAGTGTTTTTATGTCCATTCCTTTGTTGATGGGCTGTTGGGTTGCTGCCATCTCTTCGCTATGTGAATAACACAGTAGTAAATATGGGTGTGCATATGGCATGGTCAAATAGCATTTCTGTTTCCAACTTCTTGAGAAAGTGCCAGACCACCTCCTGTGGCATTTGCAGTGAGTGAGAATTCTAGTCTCTCCACATCCTCACCAGCATTTGTTGTTTGCTGTTCTGTTGAACTTTGCTCTAGTTGTTGGGGACCATAACTCCTTTGAAGCACAAGCCAAAATGCCACTTCGTATTCCTTCTTATTTGTGTCCATTATTCAGTGTTCTCTGTCATTCTGAATCATTACTGTTGTTCTGAAGTCTTAGTGATTTCAATATTCCTGTTTCTTGTCCTCTTCCCCTGGTGATCTTGTGCTACACTCTACCGCACTCACTTACTCTCTTAACCATTCTCAATATGTGCTAAAAATCACTGCACCTCTTTTAAATTCTCCATTTATAGCTTCTCAGACTCCACTTCCTTTCGTGTTTTCAGTTCTCTCTCTATTGAGAATTAGTGATTTATTTCTGAACTCAAACTTTTTTATTATACTCCATTGGGACATATGGTACAATGTTCTTCCTACTTTTCTGCTTTTCATCATCACTCTTCTCAGAGCATTCCTACTTCTTCCTTTAGAATATTGCTTTAGATAATAGTTTCTGACTTTAAATCAATCCCTTGCATATAACTTTAGCTTTCCTTTTTTCCCCATTTGTTCTGTCAAACGCTTCCTGGTTGAATCTCAACTCTAAAATTACAGCTTTTAATCCTATCCTACTGTGAAAGGGTAGATTCTACTAAAGAAAACACCATACCAGTGAGTGTCTTCAGTGTTTTAACTGCAAATTTCAAGCAGATCTTTAGTGTTCCATGGTGATTCGTCTACATTTCCTTAGTGAATTTATCCTCTCACTCTCTCAAATGGCTCTCACATCTTTCTTCAAAAGGCAAAAATTACTCTCCTTCCTCATTCAAGATAGGATCCCTAGAAGTTAAATCACTTGACTGCCTAAATCCACCAGCCACAGGAAGAGAATGTGGCAATCTGTTTCCGTAAAGATTTACAGCCTTGGAAACCCTGTAGGGTTCTTTTACTGTGTCATGTGGGATTGCTGTGAGTTAAAATCAACTGTTCCATGTTCTTGTAACTAGAACATGGAACAACTGGAACAGCACATGGACAGGGAACTGTCAGAAATTCAAGCTGGATTCAGATGAGCTCATGACACGAGATATCATTACTAATGTCAAGTGGATCTTGGCTGAAAGCAGAGAATATCATAAAGATGTTTATTTGTGTTTTATTGGCTATGCAAAGTGTTTGACTATATGGGTCCTAACAGATTACAGTGAACACTGAGAAGAATGTGAATTCCAGAACACTTATTTGTATTTATGCAAAAACTGTATATATACATCAAGAAGCAGTTGTGCTGTTATCTCAGTAGAGTAAGGGAAAATTGCATAGTTAAAATAAGATGTATGTCTGGATTTTATCCTTTCTCCATACCTATTCGGTCAGTATGTTGAGCAGATCATTTCAAAAGTTGAACTATATGAAGAAGAATGTGACATCAGAATTGGGAAAAAACTTATTAGCAAGCTGCCTAATGCTGGTGGCATAACCTGGCTTGCAAAAAATAAAGATGATGTGTTTGCTTCCAAAGATCAAACCCTTCAACATGAGTTACATCTTAATATCAAGAAAACGAAAGTCCTCCTCACCAATAGACCAATAGGCAACATGATAGATGGAGAAAGATTTAAATTTTCAGTTATTTTATTTTACTTGAGTTCACAGTCAACACACACGGTAACTTAAAGTCAAGAAATCTAAAGATATGTTAGAGGTCAAAGACCTCTCCAAAATTCTCAAGAGCAAGGATGTTAAATAATAAAGTGCACCTGACTAATGCCATGATCTTTTCACTTGATTGTTATGCATCTGAAAGTTGCACAGTGAATAAGGATGATAGAAGAATTAATGCCAGGGAGCTCTGGTGGCCTAGTGGCAAGGAGCTGCAACTACAATCCCAGAGGCGCATGGTTCAAATCCACCAGATGCTCTGCTGGGGAAGGAGGGACAATCTCCTCCTGTACCAGTCAGATCTGATTTGACGGTACACTCACACAAAAGATAATAAAATAATAATAAGGAAGAATTAATGCCTTAGAATTGTTGTATTGGACTAACAAAAGCACAAACAAATCTGCCTTGAAGGAAGTACAGCTAAAAAAGGAGGAGGCATTACAAGCACATTTCAGGAGGAACAAGTCCTTGTAGAGAGAAACATCATGCTGGGAAAGATAGAGGATCAGAGAAAAAGAGGAAGACTCTTACCGAGATGTATTGAGTTTTTATCACTTCCACCTAGACACCCACTCCTCTAAGCTATTCCTCTTGTGCAGTGAACAGCTGTGTGATGTATAATAGAATTACAATATAAAGAGATAATGAAACAGATCATGAAAGGGTGACAGTAGGGAAATAACTTGAGGAATAATGATATTAAAGCTACTTTTCTGGTCTTCAGATATAAGTCTGTGTGGTAATTCTTAAAGAAAAACATTGACAAAAAATAGAGACCCAAGAGAAAAATATTTGTAATGAGTTAGAACACATTTCAAAAGGGTTTTTCATATTTGACTTGCTATTATAAACTGAAAGAATTATCTTTTTTCCTTCCCTCCCTCTCTCTCAGTACTGCTGGCGGTGGACAGGTTTTAACTTCGGCTTTGACCTGCTTGTAACTTATAACAATCGGTACATCATTTTCAAACGCAATACACTGAATCAGCCATGTAGTGGTTCTGTTAGTTTACAGCCTCGAAGAAGCATAGCATTTAGGTAAGGTGAGATTTCCTCCCTCCCACTCCCTTTAACTGTAGAGGGGAAAATATTACAACTTTGAAAGTATGTGAAAGTGCTAGAAAAAAAGTTGTAAGATCCAGTAAGTTAAGTCAAAAGAATAGGTTGGGATATGAATAATAGACAATATATTCTACGCTTGAAGCTGCTTACCACTGCTATTTGTGGTAAATAAAAGGTCACACTGGATGTATGGCAAGGTATTTTTCCAGGGAAACATGTCTAGTAATCAATTACTCTTGGCTTTCTATAGGTTTTGATGTGTCATGTGTCTAATTTGTCCTACAAGAGAGCTGTCTATCAGTTGATTTCTGGAGAATATGCTGTAAACTAATAAAATGTAAGATAGTTTCATGAGCAGAGACTGATTAAACTAGTTGCTGTTTTGTCAGCTCCCTCTCTGGCTGGCCTGCATGGATCAGAATAGAGCTGTGCTCTGTATGGCTACCAAAGGCTGATTTTTGCAAGTCGTTTGCCGTACCTTTCTTCCAACAGACTTCTAGGTAGACTCAGAATTTCAGTCTTTTATTTAATAGGCTAATGTATTAACTGTGTATACCACCCTACCCAGGGACTGTATGGCTTATTCAGAAACCTTATATTTGTAAAATTCTTTTATATCTCAGATAGGCAGAAAGCATGGGTTCATAAATCTGTATAGAATCAGTGGATAGTTTGAATATATTTTTTTAAGTCTTAGAGATTTTGGAAGATAAAAAAAGTAAATATTGAAGTGACGGAAAGCCCATTTAAATTAGTACATTGTTTTAAAAAGAATCGATTTTTTAATTTAGGTTTTTTTTTGTTTTTTAATCCTAGATTACGTTTGGCCTCTTTTGATAATAGTGGAAAACTAATATGTAGTAGAACAACTGGCTATCAAATACTAACACTTGAAAAGGATCAGGTAAGTTTGATTATATTTCTATTAATTCTGCGGAACAATTGGTCTTTTGAATCCTCATTTGAATATTGTAGGAAGAATTAACAGTTTTATATAAATTAACACTATTGTTAATTATTATTATATTTTAAAAATGGCTAGAACAGTACATAGATAAAGGTCTGCCAGAAGCTCAAGCAGGATTTATAAAAGACTGTAGCACCAGGAATATTATTACTGGTGTCAAATGGATGCTGGATAAAAGTAAGGAATACCAGAAAAATTTCTATTGGTGTTTTATTGACTATGCAAAGGTATTTGACTGTGTGGCTCATAACAAGTTGTGCTTGACATTGAGAAGAATGGGAATCGCAAAACACTTAATTGTGCTAATGCGGAATCTATACCTGGTCCCAGGAGGCTATTGTGCATACAGAGCCGGGGAACACTACATGGTTTAAAATTAAGAAAGGATTGCATCAGGTTTGTAATATTTCTCCAAACCTGTTCAGTCGTATGCCGAGCAAATTATTTCAGAAGCTGGACTCTGTGAAGATTCATCAATAGCCTGCGTTATACAGATGATACAATCTTGCTTGATGAAAGTGAGGAGGACTTGAAGCACTTTTTACAGAAGATCAAGGAATGCAGCCTTCAGTATGAATTGCATCTCAGTGTCAAGAAAACCAAAGATTTTTACCACTGGACCAATAGGTCATGTCAAGATGGATGGAGAGGAGATTGAAACTGTCAACAGCTTCACCTTACTTGGATCCACAATTAACACGCTTAGTAACAGCAATCAGGAAATAAGGAGCAATATTGCACTGGGAAAGTCCACAGTTAGGAACTTCTCCAAATTATTGAGGCCATCGTCTTTCTGATCACTTGCTCTGCATCTAAGAGTTGGACAATAAAAAGGATAATAGAAGAATAATTGATGCTTTCGAGCTGTGGTGTTGGACAAGAGCACTGAGCATCCCATGGACTGCCAAAAGAACAAACAAGAGGAGGCAGCCAGAGTGTCCTTGGAGGCATGGGCATGTTGCTATAAGAGGTATTCCTTGGAGAAAGACATGATGCTGGGAAGGGTGGAGGATCAATAAAGGAGAGGAAGACCTTCAACCAGGTGAACTAACATGGTGACTGCTGCAGTGGGCTCTTGTGTGTGAGGATGGCACAGGATAGAACAGGGTTCAGATCTTTAGTTCATAGACTCGGTATGAATTGTACTCAACAGCACCTAACAACAATAACAATATAATGCATTAACAATGTTATGTTGTTGTTGTTATGTTGAGTCAGAACTGACCCATAGCTGACCCTCCCTCTAGTACGTTTTCTTATTAATGTTATTTCATATTAACGTTAATCATATTGTAAGAGATTGCCCATCTTTCTCCCATGGAGCAGTGAGTCAGTTCAAACTTTGTGCATTTGGGATTGCAGTGCAGCTTCTTACCACTTATAACTTAAAGCCACTAGGACTCTTTAATGTTATAATGAGTTAACATAATTTTATTTTAAAGGTTAATTTCAAAATTACCTCTTGAAAACATTTGTTTGAGCATGTTGTTGTTGTTGTTTAATGCCGTCGAGTCGTAGACGACTCATAGCGACCCTACGACCCTACGAACGAACAGCCTGAGCACTGTTTGTACATAGAGTTTCCAGAGGCAAGCCATTTTGGAAGTGGATGCCGCTCCTGCTTCCAGTTGTTTGAGCATAGGCTTGTAGAAATTTCAGTCAGCCTGCAACTCAAGCAGCAACCCCTTGTGTACAGTGGAACAAAACACCAGGTTCTGAGAATTAGAGGGTAGATCATTGTGAGGCACAACGTTTTTATTGGCTGATTTTCAGCCATAGATTGCCAGATCATTCCTCCCAGTCTGTCTTCATCTGGAAACTTCACTAAAACCTATTCAATATCATAACAAGTACATTTTAACCAAACGAGTGATTGATACTAATGACAAAATAAACATAGGTCTCCCAAACAGAAGGCAAGAATTCTACCACTGGCCCACCATTGATCAGTTATCAGTATTAACGATCAGTTATCAGAGGAGATTAGCAGTTTTCCTTGGACTGAAGAGACTGATTATTGCCATCAAAACTTAACATTAGGAGGAACCTTAGAAGTAGTATGTTTAGCCCATCAACAAATGAATAGGTAGAGAAGCTGTGGTATATTCACACAATGGAATACTATGCTGCATTGAAAAACAAGGAACTCATGCAGTATTATTCAAAATGGGTGAGCCTGGAGGACATTATGCTGAGTGAAATATCTCAGTCGCAAAAGGACAAATATTGCATGGTGCCACTGCTGTAAAATGGGACTGATATCAGGGTGGGGGTAAGATTGAGAAAAACTGGATAAATTGTGTATACTGCACTGAAGCAGATGAGGGACTGAATAATTTAAAAGCGATGTATGATAGGGTATTATGGTTATCACAAGAGTCCACAATTAAGGTTGCATAGTGGAATGTACTTGGGGCGGTGGGAGGGGTGCGGGGGGGATTGTTACCAGGGGAGGAGTCTTTCTTTTACTTTTGAAAGAGAGGAGCAAACTGGGGGGCGGGAGGAGAGGGCTGGGCAGGTAGAGAAGTGCAGCAATGAATGAATGGAAATCCAAATTCTCTGTAAATGTTCATTAAAATTATTAAAAAAAAAAAAGAAGTAGTATGTTTAGCACACCCTGGCTGAGAACTCCATTACAGCACTCTTAAAGCAAGTCCTCCAGCCACAGTTGTAGTTCTTCAGTAACAAAAAGCTGATTTCCTCACGTGATCGGTAATGTATGAGAATGCCTATTTCTAGGTGGTCACAGAGAGCCAAAGCCAAAGAGAATATGTAAAAAGCCCAAAAGGAAAAGGTAGCCAACTAGTTGAGAGGGTTTACATTTGAATTGAAGATTTGTACTAGGGAGCTGAATTTATGGACATTGGAATTCCGTTTTATCAGATAGAATGTGGAGAAATATGTTGTTGTTGTTGTTGTTGTTAGGTGCCGTCAAGGCAACAGCAACTGTATATATATATATGACAGAGTGAAGCTCTGCCCAGTTCTGCACTATCCTCGCAGCCCACTGCTGTAGTCACTGCATCAGTATGTCTCATTGATGATCATCTTCTCCTTCTCTGACCCTTCACCTTTCCAAACATGATGTCCATGCACTAGCGCCTCCTGATAATATACCTAGGGGAAGTGAGTTGAAGTCTCACCATCCTTGCCTCTTAAGTGACAGGAACCTTAGAGAAGCAGGTATTTATTTGTGCATGAAGATAGAGGAAATAATGGTGTAGAGATTAAAAAAGGGGAGGGGGCAAGTGGACCTAACAAAATCCTTACAACTGGACTAATGGGTAAGATAATGATATGTGGGGAAGAGATTAAAGTTGTCAGCAGTTTCATTTTACTTGGATCACCTATGGGAGCAGCAGCTAAGAAAGAAAATAATATTGCATTGGAAAAATCTTTGTCAAGGACCTCTCCAAAGTGCTAAAGAGCAAGGATGTCAGTTAAAGACTAAGGTGTAACTGATCTGCCCCATGGTCTTTTGAGTTGATTCCTCTGCATTAAAGTTAGGCAGTTAATAAAGATGGCAGAAGAAGAATTGATGCCTTTGAATTGTGGTGTTGGCAAAAAATACGAAATGGACTGCTAAAGAACAAACAAGTCTGTGTTGGAAGGAAACAAATCTGTGTTGGAAGGAGTATAGCCAGGATGCTCTCCAGACGCAAGGAAGGTGAAACATTGTCTCACATACTTTGCATGTGTCAGGAGGGGCCAGTCCTCGGAAAAGCGTATCATGATAGGAAAGGTCAGGGAAAGAGGGGAAGATCCCCAGCCAAATGGATTGACACAGTAACAATGGGCTGGAGCCTGTCAGAGATGGTGAGGACAGTACAGGATAGGGTAGGTCTGGATATTGTTCACAGGGTTGCTAGGAGCCATAGTCAACTCGATGGCACCTAACAACAGGAAATTGCTGCCTGTCCATATAACTGCCACTTCTTAATGGAATAAGAAAATGGAAACTTTGCTATAAAGATGGTTCAGTTCAAATGTAGATAAAAGTTGAGCCCCTGAAGTGGAGTAAAAAATTTGAGGGAAAAAGAATGAGGCCTAATTTGAAACTTGAGATATTAATGAAGTTTAATATTTCTACCCAAATGATATGCACATGGTTCTTTTCTTTTTTTATAAGTTGGGTAAATCATTCTCACCCACCCCAGTGTTAACTGTCTTTAAACACCACCGTGTCCCTTTTTAAAAAAAAACCACACACACACACACACAATGATTCTTCCTTACATTTTTCTTAAATTTTTTTATTGTGATATGAGTAAAGTTTAGTATGTTTGTTTTCCATTCAATAATGCGTATATATTGTATTTGGGGACATTGATTACAATGCCCACATTATAATTGCATTCTTTCCACTTCCTCCATGGGTCACCTAGTTACAATCATCATTCTTTCCTATCCCATCTTCTGAACTTTATTCTGGAGAGAAGCTGCTCCTACGTGATTGATTGTTCTAAGGTGTATGTTCTTTGGTTTCACTGTACAGGTCTTTCTATTGTGTGGCTGAATATTGAGTTACAAAAGATTATTTCAGTGCTAGATTTTTGAAGGGCAACTAACTGAAAACCAAATATCAGGAGTTTTACTAGTCTCTTCAGACAGTAAAACTTGTCTTTTTCACTGTTTAGAGGTTTTAGTCACATAATTTTCTTATTCTACTTAACGATGCTTTGGGAAGAATATTAAATGATCCTGGAAGCATTAAAAGAAGATGGAAGGAGGATACAGAATCACTGTACAAAAATAAATTGGCTGACATAGAAGAATTTCATGAAGCAACATATGAGCAAAAGAATGTGGTGATGAAGGAAGATGTTCAAGCTGCTCTGAAAGAATTGGCAAAAACAAGGCCCCTGCAATTGACAGCATACCAGTTGACATATTTCAACAAACAGATGCTACCTTGGGTGTGCTCACCAAGTTGTGCCAAGAAATCTGGAGGACAGCCATCTGGCCAACTGACTGGAAGAGATTTATATTTGTTCCCATTCCAAAGAAATGTGACCTGGCAGAGTGAGGAAATTATCAAACATTATCATTAATATCACATGCAAGCACATCAACAGAGAACTACCAGATGTGTAGACTGGTTTTAGAAGAGGTAGTAGGGATGTATTATATGTTAGATGGATTTTGGCTGAAAGCAGAGAGCAGTAGAGGAATTTCTGTCTGGTTTTTGTTGACTACGCAAAGGCATTTAACTGTGTGCATTACAACAAACTGCGGCTAACTCTGAGAAGAATGGGAATCCTAGAACACTTGATTGTGCTTGTACAAAACCTATAATTGGACTGGAGACAATTGTCAGAACAGAGCAAGGAAATGTTGCATGGTTCAAAATTGGGAAGGGTGTATGTCAGGGTTGTATTTCATCTCCATATGTTTTCAATCTGTATGCAGAACAGGTCATCTGGGAGGCTGGGCTCTATGAGGAGGAGTATGGCATCCAGATTGGAGAAGAACTCATCAACAACCTGCATTATGCAAATGGCACAACCCTGCTTGCTGAAACTGAAGAGGACCTGATGCACCTGCTGCAGAAGGTCAAGAACTGCAGTTTTCAATGTGGACTGAAGCTCAACATCAAGAAAACAAAGATTCTCACCACTGGGCCGATTGGCAGCATCATGGTAGTTGGTAAAGAGATTGAGATTGTTAACAGTTTTAGTTTGCTTGGCTCCACAATCAACACTCTTGGTACCAGCAGTCAGGAAATCAAGACACGAATTGCATTGGACAAGTCTGCTGTCAGGGACCTGTCCAGAGTACTGAAGAGCAACAGTGTCAGTTTGGAGACTAAGGTACACCTGATCCAGGCCATAGTCTTTGCAATTACTTGCTATGCATCAGAAAGATGGACAATGACTAGGGATGATCAAAAGAGAATTGGTGCCTTTGAGCTGTGGTGCTGGTGGAGAGTATTAGATACACCTAGAACTGCTAGGAGATCAAACAGGTTCATCCAGGAGAGGGTAAAACCAGACTGCTCCTTGGAGGCAAGGATTCTGAAGTTCTGTCTGACATACTTTGGGCACGTTGCAAAGAGAGACCAGTGCTTGATGATGGACATCATGCTTAGGAGGGTGAAGGGATGGTGCAAGAGAGGAAGACCCTGGATGGGATGGATTGACTCCGTGACTGGGGTTATGAAGGTAGGCGTTTCAGACAATAAAGTTGTCACAGAATAGGGCAGTGTTCAGAGCTTTTGTACATAGAGTCTCTGTGAATCACAACCTACTCAACAACATACAACAACATCATCAGGGACTGTCTCTTGTGACCTCAGAATTCAGCAATGATAGCAAAGAAACAGCTAGTTTGCCTAGTTTCAGGGTTATAATAAGAAAGTTCATATGGTATTTTAGTGTTTTGAACTAATAACCTTGTCTCTCTTGCTCATTTTCTCAAGAACTTGTTTTTCTTCATAGTATAGAATATTGATTTTTGTCATAAGATAAAATCATCAAATCATTGTTCTCAGTAAATTTAGTAAATGTGCCTTCAGCCAGGTTATTCATACATTACTCGACTAGGGTTACCCATGTTTCAATATCATCACAGCATTGTCAGCCTAGGTGTTCACTCGGCCTAATCCAACATCTTATCCAGCTTGTTTATTAGAAATGTATTTTTAAAAATACTGCTTTCTCTCTTTGGAGTTATGTAGAGATAATGTAGAAGCTGTTTAGAGATATTACAGAAAATACCAGAAAGTTGCTTACCTTTGTTGTGTTAACTATGCAGAGGCATTTGACTGTGTGCATCATAAGAAATTATGGATAACATTACAAAGACTGGGAATGCCGAGCATTTCATTGTGCTCATGCAGAACCCGTACTTGGACCCAAGAGTCAATTATTTGGAGAAAAAAAATGGGATACTCTTCGGTTTAAAATCAAGAAATATGTTTGACAAAGCTGTGTCGTTTCACCATACATCCTCAGTCTGAATAGTGAGCAAATAATCTAGAAAGCTGGACTGCATGAAGAGAAGTGTAATGTCAGAAGTGGAGACTCAGTAGTATTCTATGACAAAGCCTTGCTTTCTCAAAGTAAAAAGGAATTAAGCACTTATTAATGAAAATAAAGCTTTCAGTATAGAATACACTCAACATAAAATAAAAATTCTCACAGTTCATAAGCATTATCATGATAAACAGAAAAGATTGAAGTTGTCAGAGAGTTCATTTAAATTGGAATCATAAACCACACCCATGCAAACCAACCAGGCAGCCCAGCACACTGCTGTTGAGTCAGTTGCAAATCATACCACCCTTCCATTGGGATTCCAGGACTGTAAATCATGATGGGAGAAGGCTGTTCATCTTTCTCCAGCAGAGCAGGTGATAGATTCAAACTATTAACCTTTCAGTAACTACTGTACTACCAGAGCTGCTTCTCCATGGAAATAGCAGTCAATATGTCAAACAATGTATTGCTTTGGAGAAATCGACTTCAGAAAGACTTCTTTAAAGTACTAAAATGGAAAGATGTCACACTGAGAACCAAGGTGTGCCAGACCCAAATCGTGATCTTTTCTGTTGCTTCCTATACATCTCGAAGTTGAACAGCGAATAAAGATGGCAGAAGAATTGATACCTTTTATTTGCAGTACTGATGAAGAACACTGACTAATCCATGGATTTAAAAAAAAAAAAACAACAACAAAACAACCAAACAGATATGTCTTGGAGACGATGCAGCCAGATTGCTCCCTTATTGGCAAAGATTGTGAAACTGTCTCACTTCTTTTGGGCATGTTGTTAGGAGGGGCCAGTTCTTAGAAAAAGACATCTTTCTATCAAAAGTCACAGAGAGAGGAAGATTCTCAGCAAGATGTATTGACACAATGGGCTTGAGTGTATCAGAGATCATGAAGGTAGTGTAGGGTAGGGCAAGGTTCAGATATCTTTTTTCCTTGGGTCACCATGAGTAGTAGTCAATTCACATGACATCAGCAAACCTGAAAGTGCGTTCATATGGTAATACATTTTGCATTCCAAGAAACAGCATACTTGTTACACAGACAATAGGAAATCTTAGAAACTTGCTTGTCTGTAACGATAATGACTTCACAATCATCCAAGTGATTTGCTATACATAAGACCCATGAGAAATTGAGCCCAGGAACAAAGATTTTATAAATTAATAACTTGGAAGGGACTGGAAAGTATTATGGTAAGGGAACTAACTCAGCCCCGTAAGTACAAATATTGTAAATGACCATTATTGTAGAATATGTATGAGGATACAAGGGGGGAGCTGAGTGGTGAGGATGAACAGTTATGAGGGGGTTAATCATAGTTTCACACAAATTTGATGAGTGGAGGGCGGGAGGGTAAAGGAAATGGCAAAGATCTGGTGTGAAAAACAGTATATACGAACTTTGAAAGTAAACAGTAAAAAATAAAAATTTTATTTAAAAAAAAAAAAGAAATTGAGCTCAGTTGAGAAATGTATGAAGAGGATAGTACCTGTGGAGCTTTGGTGGCCTAATGGTAAGGAACAGTGCTGCCAACTCACAGGCATGCAGTTCAAATGTATCAGCTGTTCCCGAGGAGAAAGATGGATAGTCTTCTGAAAACCCACAGAAGGGTCAGCTATGAGTTGGTTTTGACGGCACCTAACAACAGTGTTTATAAAATGTATTGGTAGTTGATAGAAATGTTGCAGCAACAAAAATTACTGTCATTATTGGGTGAACATGATGGAAGAAGAGTGGATGCATTTGAGCTGTGGTGCTGGAGAGTATTGGCTATACAGCAGACTACTAGAAGAACAAACAGATTCGTCCTGGAAAGGGTGAAACCAGGCTGCTCCTTGGAGACAAGGATTCTGAAGCTTTGTCTGACACACTCTGGGCATGTTGCAAGGAGGGACCAGTTCTTGGAGAACAGACATCATGTTTGGAAGGGTGAAAGGACAGCACAGTTGATGAAGACCCTGGATGAGATGGATTGACTCAGTGACTGGGGTAATGGGGGTAGGTATGTTGGAGACAGTAAGATTGGCACAGGATAGAGCATCGTTCAGGGATGTTATACCTGTCTATACCTATGTATAGGTGACACATAACAATAACAGCAAAAGTATATGGCAGGCTGTTCTGAGCCCTCCACCTGCACTGCCTTTTAATCTTCAGTGTAATTTTCCATTTAGAAGTTGTACTTGACACTCAGTGACTTGCCCAAGGTCACGCTGCTATTGGGTGAAGTTTTTAAGACTTAGCTGCATCCTCTCAGACTCTAGACTTAACTAGAGTATCTCAACAGTTTGTTCTTTTTTTAATTTTTATTAGTTATCATTAAAGTTACTAATTTGTTTTATAGGAACAAGTGGTGATGAACTTGGACAGCAGGCTTCTGGTATTCCCTTTATTTATCTGCTGCAACTTCCTGTATGTGTCACCAGAAAAAAGAACTGAACATAATCATCCAGAAAACTGAGCACCTCATCAACTGGAACCAGTAACACTTTACAAAAATCTTAGGCCAGCTTTATTTTAATAATGGCTTTGCTGATAATCACATCGAAGGTGACTAACTCTAACAAAGGCCTTATGAACTATAACAGATAACACAGAAGACTGTTCTTATCCTTACTTCATTTCTATGCATATATGGGGGGGAAACCTTAAAGCCAAGAAAATATCAGTCAAACTACTCTTGTAAAGATGTCAGCCACTGCTTTTGATTTACCATCAGTAGAAAATTGTTATAAATTCCACACACTTCTGCAACCAAATATAAATTTAATTTTTCAGCTTAAACTTTGATCCTATCTAATGTTAGTTAGCCTTAGGTATTCATCTGTGAATTAATTTTTATTTGCCTAAAAAAAATTTAAAGAATTATTTAAATAGCCAATTAAAAATGCTTTCAGTTTGTACATTGATGTTCTGTACAGTTTCATTAAGTTGTGAATTAATTTATGTAACAAATATTACACTTTAAATATTTTCATAGTCTCCAATTTTTAGAATTATTTATATTTGAATTAAAATTATATTTTCTACTTAAGCTCAGGACTTTGACCTCTGAATTGAGTCCCTTTGAGTTACACATGCTGATAGAAATTTCATAGTAAATCTAAATAAAGTTGGAGGGTCTAATGTAGAAGCTGGATAATAAAGCATTATGTAAAAAGTGGGACTTTTTCCCCCCCTTATTATTTATCATCAAGTCAGATCCAACTGGCACAGGAAGAGATTGCCCTTCCTTCTCCAGCAGAGCATCTGGTGGATTCCAACCGCATGCACCTTTAGGATTGCAGTGCAGGGACTTTTTTTTTTAAATGAGGTGTACACTTGTCATGATTTATATATGTTAGCTTCTTGTATTTACTGATATTTTTAAAATAGGCATGCTCATTTTCTTCTCAATATAAATACTTTTTGTGGTTAATGTATATTTTTAGTATGTTCCAGAGGAAATGGGAATCATTTTTTATATATTTGTACAAATAAGAATTTGGAAAATAATTAAACTCTTACATAAAATGAACAAAAAATATCTCAGGGATAAATAAATTTTTAGTTTATGGTAGATCAAAAAGATTTCCCTTTCTAATTAGATAATCCCCAGTTAGAATTACCTTTGGAATTTATGGATTTTTTTCCCCCTCCAGAAGTAATATCTGTAGGCTTATAACATTACTTTTTTTTCTTTCCAAATCCACCCTCTTAAAATTGAGAAAACTTTAAAAATACCTTTTCTACCACTATACTGCCAACCTGATTGGAGCTCTAGTGGTAAGGAGTTTTGCAAAGGCAGGTGGTCTGAATCTACCAGCTGCTCCACAGGAGAGAGAGGAGCCATCTCCTGTGGGATTTAAAGTCTCTGGAACCCCACCAGAGGACCAGCTAGGATTCAGTTCCAGTTTGAGGCCAGAGAGAGTTCAATACAGTGATGTGACTATTCTAGGAAGTTCTCTTTATTTTTCTGTTTGACTGCAGTGCATCTCTTTCATGAGATGCTGCCAGCTGTCATTCTTTTATCACAGCATAAGAAGTTTCTTGCTCTATAAAAAGAGAAATAAATAAAATATAAATACCAAACTTAGTAGTTATTTGAATTATTTGAACAATTAGGTTTTTACAAACCTTGAAAACAAAATATTATTGTATTCATGCACGAGTTAAATTAATGATGTAACTTATATAAGTTGTTTTTATGTACCCTTAGTTGAAACCAACTCACTGCTAACCATGTAGCAGATTTTCACAGGCAGTAAATTGCACAAGAGGGCATTTTCCATCTTTCTCCCACAGAGCAGCTGATGGATTTGAACTGTGTGCCTTTAAACTGGCAGTGCAGTTCCTTACTACAAGAAAGGTGGCCTAGCAGCAAGAAGCTGCCCTGCAATCCCAAAGGTACGTGGTTTAAGGCCACTGGCTGCTCTGTGGGAGGATGGGAAATCTCTTCTCCTATGATTAACTGCCCCTGAAAACATGCTGGAGGTTCTGACTCTATGACACACAACAACAGGCCACCAGGTGCTCTCTATTATATAAATTAAGTAGCCAAATTACAATTATATACATTTTGTATTGACTGGTTCTTTCCAAGGGAGATTTGGTGGCCTAGTGGGAAAGGAGTTGCATTACCAACCTAAAGAAATGTAGGTTGCCCACCCAAGCAGATATATGCACACCCATATTTATCCTGGCTTTGTTCACAATAGCAAAGAGTTGGAAGCAACCCAAGTGCCCATCAACAAACAAATAGATAGAGAAGCTGTGGTATATTCACACAATGGAATACTACACTGCATTGAAAAACATGGAACTCATTCTATACTATTCAAAATGGGTGACCCTGGAGTACATTTTGCTGAGTGAAATATCTCAGTCGCATCTCAGTCACAAAAGGTCAAATACATAGTGCCACTGTTGTAAAATGGGACTGACATTGGGGTTGGGGGGGGGGACTGAGAAAGATGGGATAAATTATGTATACTGCATTGAAAGAAATGAGGGAGAGAACTGTTTAAAGGGGATACATGATTAGATATTATTGTCATGACAGAGTCTAAAATGAAGGCTGCACAGTGAAGTGGATTTGGGGGAAGGAATTATATAACAATGAAAGAATTTTTCTTCTCCTTTTCAAAACAAAGGCTGCATAGTGCAGTGGACTTGGGGGGAGAAATTGTATACCAATGAAAGAATTTTACTTTTCAAAGAGAAGAGCAAACTGTTGTGGGCAGGGAGAAAAGTGCAACAGTGAATGAATGGAAATCCAAAGTCTCTGTAAACTTTCATTAAAATTAATAATAAAGATTGCTTAAATCCACCAACACCTCATTGGGGGAAGGGTGGATAACTTCCTTCCCTTGCAATTTATGACCTCTAAAAACGCACTGGAAGGTCAGCTAAGAGTCAGTTCCAACTTGGTGGCAATGTGTTTGAGTTTGTTTTGATCCCAAGGATTTTGCTCACTCCATTGGGGGGGAAAAATACTGAATCCAGACTCTTATAATAATGAGGGAGAAAGAGGTTCCTTCTTGGCTAAGTTACTTACCATCCTCCATAGGCAGGGTGATTATTTCCTTAATCTCAGACAGGATCCTTCTCACTGGAGAAATGGACAACTGTTAGCTAGAACTTACACATTATATTAAAAATTTTTATTTTTATGAAAAAGTTTTATTTTCATAACATACTTTTATGTGTTCATACACTTGGATTTTTCCCCCCACTGGAATATTTTCATTTTAAAGTATTTTTAGCTTGAAGTATCATGGTCAACCAACTTAGTGACGTAAAGTTAGGACCAACTCATAGCTGACCCTCCAGTGAGTTTCTGAGCCTGTTAGTCACAGGAGAGGAGATTGTCCAGTTTTCTTTTGTGGAGTTGCTGGTGAGTTCAAACTGTCAGAAAAGTGTAACCTTTGGCTTAGTGACACAGTACCCATAGATTACACCACCAGGGTTCCCCAAAGGAGCTCATATAACCTACTGTTTGCCAGTCATCACTTGTGGGCATCTCAGGGTTTTTTAGTTTTAACTCCTAGGACTTGGAAACAGTTGAGCATACCATGGACTGCCAAAAGAACAAACAGGTCTGTTCTGGAGGAGGTGAAGCCAAGTTGCTCCTTAGAGGCAAGGATTTTGAAGCTCCATCACACATACCTTTGGGCATGTTGCCAGGGAGGTCCAGTTCTTGGAGAAGGACTTCATGTATGGAAAGGTGGAGGGACAATGCAGGAGAGGAAGATCCTGGATGAGATGGACTGACATAGTAACTGAGATAATGGAGGTATAGGTGCCAAGAGTCAGTGAGACTGGCTCAGGATATAGCAGGGTTCAGAGATACTCTTGTACATAAGGTCGCTATGAGTCGTGGGCAATTCAACAACACGTAACAAAAATCAGTAAAGAAAATGTTCTAGATGCTTGTGCTTATTAATGAAGGTTATTAATTTAACTATTTGAAAAAAATTCACCTCAGTCTACAGTAGCCACTTTTTTTGGTGGTGTTAGGTGCCATGGAGTCATGTACAACCCATAGCAACCCTATGAACAACAGATGTGAACCCTTTTCTATCCTGTGCCATCCTCACACTTCCTGACACACTAGAGCCTATTGCAGCACTTTGTCAAACCACCCGGTTGGGGGTCTTCCTCTCCTTACCAAACCTCTACCTGCTGTCCTTGTCCAAGAAATAGACTCTTGTAGCAATGTGCCTGAATTATGAAGCAAAGCTGTATCATTTCTGCTTCCAACAAGCTCTCAGGCTATATTTTCTCCAAGACATATTTGATATTTTGGCAGACTGTAGAATGTTCAGTACTCTTCAACACTACAGCTCCAAGGTATTAATTCTTCTGTCATTCTTACTCATTGTTCAGCTCTCAGATGCATAGCAAGTTATTGGAAAGACCATAGCCTGAATTGGGTGCACCTTAGTCTTCAAATTGACATCATGTCTCCTCAGTAACTTGGAGAGGTACTTGACTGCAGACTTTCTCAGTGTAATACATCTTCTGATTCCCTGGCTCCTGGTAACAAGGTTTGTGGATTGTTGATTATGGATCCAAGTAAGATGAAATTGTTGATAGTTTTCAATCTTTTCTCCATCTATCATGATATTGCCATTGTTCCAGTGGTAAGAATATTTGTTCTCTTGACACTGAGATGCAATCCATACTGAATTCTTTGATCTTCTGTAGCAAATGCTTCAAGTTCTCCTCACTTTCAGCAAGCAAGTTTGTGTCGTGCAAATGAAGGTTATTGATGAGTCTTCCTCCAATCTTGATTTCACAATCTTCCTCATAGATTCCAGCTTCTCAAATGATTTGCTCAGCACACAGATTCAGTAGGTAGAGAAAATAAAACTGTGACACACACTTCTAATTTAAACCATGTAGTGTTGCCTTGCTCTGTTTGCACAACAGCCTCCTGGTCCAGCTATATGTTCCACATGATCACAAGTAAGTGCTCTGGGATTCCATGCTTCTCAATGTTAGCCGCAATTTGTTATGATCCACACAGTCAAATGCCTTTGCATAGTCAAAAAAGCATACATAGACATTCTTCTGATATTTTCAAATTTCAGCCAGGTTCCATCTCACATCAGCAATGATATCCATGCTGCCATGGCCTCTTCTAAATCCTGCTTCAACTTCTGGCAGTTCCATATCTATTTACTCTTCTAGCTGTTTATTATGTTCAGCAGTATTTTGCTTGTGATATTAAAGTAATTGTTCTATAGTTTCCACATTTTGTTCCATTGCCTTTCTTGGGAATGGGAACACATAGGGACCTATTCCATTGATCAGACAGCTATCCTCCAAATTTCCTGACAGACTGGTGAGTGCATCCAGGGATATATCTGTTAAATGAAACAAGTTAATTGGTATCCTAAGAATTTCTTGAGCTTTATTTTTTGCA